TATCTCAAACATGGGATATCTCGAATACCCCGCTTTTGTCGAAGTCGATCGCTGGTCCCAGTTGTATTATCTATATATATATATATGAGTAAAAAACTACTGATATTTCGAACACGGTAATCACGAATACGGCGCTTATGTCGAAGTATATTCAAAGTCCAAAGCCATTTTTCACTTATCTCGAAGTGCAGTGAATTTTTCGGTGTACTGAACACACCTGGCGTCGTGGCTTCACACATTCTCGTCAGTGGCTATTTATTACCACCTTTAACCGGGGGAATCTTAATTAACCCCAAGCTCATGTTGGGTATCAGTGGCAGTGTAATTGGTGTCCCAGCTTGGGTGTTTGGTGTAGTCTACGGCCAATAAAAAACAAACCACTTTGCAGCAATTCAGAATTTAAATACAGACAGCATTACCGATATTTAGTTTAATTATATCTTCTGATTAAATAAAATTGTAAATTCATAAAACACAAAGATTTTTCACGATAAACTTAAATCAAAAAGTTTAGTTGTCGTGCGTAATGCATAGTGCAGTGATTGATTACATCCATGTTTATCTCTGTATAAATAGATAATATTGACCGTCATTTGCATTGTTAGTGTCGTATAGTTCCTAAGTAGTACTTCGTAATGTAATGCATGTAAGCTATAAATATTATTCACATTTTAAATACTGATTATTTTTTTTGTACTCCAAATTACATTTTGCCCAAAATTTCATCAAATATTTTTTAATGGTCTTTTTCTTTTCTTACGGAGAAGATTTTACAATTATAACGCAAATGATACATACCGTTTGAGCACGTAAGAATGGCCTGAAAAATGTAAAATGTAAAATCGCTGTATATGCAATGAGACATGTATATTAAATTATGCACGAAAAAGAAAACAACATTGTTCTTCTTATTATTTATTGTGAGTAACTAATATGCTTGAGTCTTTACCGTAAAGACTACATGTTTGGTAATACAGGATAGTGTTATGCATGAAGATATCTGCATGTACGTAAAAACAGGACATTATTGACTCGACTTTGGAAGATAACTTTGGATATCTCAAACCCCCGGATATCTCGAAGTCGTGTCCAGGTCCCCTCAACTTCGAGATACTGATATTTCACTGTATTTTCTTATGAACATACAAAGATTCGGTGTTTTCCGGTAATTTAAAAAAATATAGAGAGCTACAATAATTTGATTTTAAAAAATATACATGTATCACAAAAAACCCAACCAAATTAAAAAATAATTAAAAATAAAAAAAAAATGTTTATTCTTTGCGTATAAACCCTTCAAGGCCCTTAAAAAATCAATAAGCGTTTGTTAATTGACATATCTAATTTTTTTTAAAAATGCTTGCATAGCTGTTAGAAAATAAAATAAATAATACATGTATATAACTACCGGTTTAAATGACGTTGAAATCTCGAGGAAATCAAGATGTTAGATTTATTTGCCCGGGGGTTAAGGGGACGGGTACTTGCCCCAATTTCGACAGACAAGATATCTTGCCTGCCCTCTGATTGTAAATACCTGCCATAATTCTTTCATTAAAGTAATAGTGAGATATAATCTAACATGAGAAGCAAGCAAAAAAACATCTGACCCTGGCCCCCTCCCTTGTCGGCAATTAAAATCGATGATTCGTGCCTAAAAGATATTAAGTCTCTGTTGGTATTTTAAACATACAGAATGGCAAGAATTCGATGGGAACATAAGTATAAACATGCATGCAGAGGTTTTATGTCATAATCGTTTCTTTCAGAAAAAAGAGCCGTAATTGTTCAATGGACATGCAGTGTTTTCCGGCAATTGGCGATGTCGTGCACGGACTAAATGTATTACACAATTGATGGGTTTCTCTGTAAAGTTCCTATTTTTTAATAATCATTTTTGATGTGGCATTAAAGTCTCTTTTTTATAATCATTATTGATGTGGCATGTATGAAATAAACCCTTTCACTTTGTTATGCTTTTGAGGATGAAACTTTTAAACTTTTTATAGTCTGTTAACAAGACCTTCAAGGCTTTAATGTTTAATGATGTTACAATGTTAAACTTTATATAATATATCATGCCGATTTAAGATTTAAAAAATATTATTTTTAGACATTACAAAATGATATAGCATTATTTGTATTTCCACGATCAAAGCATTAAGTTTTTATGAGTAATGGAAAATTATTCCTGTAACAAAAAGCTAAGATGGCGCTAAACTCAGAATAATGACGTAACGTCATTATCAGTTTTACTTATGACGTAAATGAGCTAACGGTAAGCCCAAAATAGGCCCATGGCACTTGACGTAGTTTTTGAAGATACACAGCCAATTGTGCCTAACGTTAATTTAACATGAAAATAACGTTAATTTAACGTTAAATATTTAACGTTAAATTAACGTCAATCGAGCTTATACATGAATTTAACGTTAAAAAATTAACGTTAAATTAACGTTATTTTCATGTAAAATTAACGTTAAATGTAAAATTAACGTTAATTAGTTCACACTAATTTAACGTTAAAATGCATAAAAATTGTGTGCATATTTTTGGAATTATCCTTCCTATTCTTCCAGAAAAATACATGTTCCTGCATCATGGCAGAAGCTAAACTAATACTACATGTAATCATAATTTATTCTCTAAAGGTACACCAGAAGCTCATCAATTTTGCACTTTTCCTTGTAGCACTACAGAAAGCTAGGCTTGCATGTTGACTTCATCCCTGGTGTCACTTTCTTTTCAATTTGAATATATCCAAAAGGATAAAGGGACCCATCAGCTCTTTCAACAAAATCTCTAAAATTCTGAGCATTGCCTCCGATTTCAAATTTTCTGAAGAAAATAGAAAAACACCAATTCATCCATTAATACTTTTAATCAGGCACATTCAATACAATGCTACAAATCTTCTTTCTTTTTCCAATCTGAAAAAGAAGAGAGGCAAACACATATATAATAATAATTATATGAAAATAAAATACTTCAGCAATACATTAACAACTCAAATTTGATGAAACAAGAGGTCCATTGACCACATCCCTCACCTGAGCACATGGGTTAGCTAAAAACACAGATCAGTTAAGTATTGAGAAGCTTACTTTATACTTGTTTGGGGAGGAAGATTTGAATTTTCCATTACTTGAAAATGTCTCTATTACAATACAGCATACATATATTATTTTGCCATACTTGAAAAGAAGACTTTTAAAGATTTTTCCAGCACATCACCTGATCTCCCATTGTGACCCCTCGCTAACCCCTAATCCCCAGGGCATTATTTGAATAAATTTTTAATTTTTACTACTTGCAGATCATGTCAATTTGACAAAACAATTTCTTCTGTTCTGGAGAAGATTGTTTATCCTATGTATTCTCATGCAAGTCTGTGATAACTCATTGTGGCCACACCCTAACCCCGGGGGTCATGATTTGAACAATTTAGAATCTACATTATACCAGGATGCTTCCACATAAGTTTCAGCTTTTCTGGCCTAGTGGTTCTTGAGAAGAAGATTTTTTAATGACCAAACCCTATTTTTGCCTTTTCTTAATTATCTCCCCTTGCGAGGGGATATGTCCCTTAATTTTAACAATTTAAATTTCCCTTCACCCAAGGATGCTTTGTACCAAGTTTGGTCAAAATTAACCCAGTGGTTCTTGAGAAGAAGTTGAAAATTTTACAGACGGACAGCTAGACAGACGGACGGACGACGTACAAAATGTGATCAGAAAAGCTCACTTGAGCCTTCGGCGCAGGTGAGCTAAAAATTTCGGGGTGACATATTAAATGGGTTTAAATATTTAATATGTGTTCGGAATAAATGCAATTTACCTGGTATTTTGAAGATTGCTTACGGTTATGAAATATATTCACTTTCTTGTGATTATCATGTTCATGTCAGCAAGACTTTTTACTGAGTAAACCTACAATAATAAAAAAAAAAAATATTAAAAATCATTTATTTGAAATGTAATATCTTCAACATATATGATGTTCATAGATAGAAACCAAATTTAATGTGCAGCGTCCAATTCAAAGAAAACTTTTAGTACAATGAAAGCAACTTGGCTTTAAATTTGTCTCTTTAGCATTAACTATATATATCAATTTATAAAATTTTTCTAAATAATGAAAGAAAAAAGTGAGCTAGCTCACATACCCCACGCTCCCCCAAAACTTGACGGTTTAACACAGAATGAAAGGCACAGTGCACTTCAAAAACATATTATAGATCAAAAACGCCAATAATTGCAAAAAATCTTCACATCAAAATGTCTTGCTTATGAGGACATTTAAATGTGGAAGGAAGTTTCTAGATAAATAATGGAATCAAAATTTCTAGGCATTATTCAAATCCAAACATTAATTTGAAGTGGTTGGGGGGTGGGGGGGGGGGGGGGCTGTCGAGAAATTTTCTTGAATAATAGGCAAAACTCTTTGGGACAAAATAATGGAATATGTCCTTAATATCTGCATAGGTTGACGAAACTATGTATAAAAGTTTAAGAGGAGTGGTGCTAAGAAACTGTTCATCTTTATATTCCAAAAAAGTTTTTAGTGCGAAAAGTCCCAGAAAAAATAAAGGAATCGGAATTTCCTGGTAATATGCATATCTGCACATTGTGTCCTAAATATCTGCAAAGTTTAACGAAATTCTGTGCAGTGGTTTATGAGGAGTTGCGCTGACAAACTGTTCACCTCTATATTCAAGTTATGGCTAAAAACCTAAGTTAAAAAGTGCGGAAAATCCCGGAAAAAAAATGGAATCAGAATTTCCTGGTAATATGCACATCTACACATTGTGTCCTAAATACCTGCAAAGTTTGACGAAATTCTGTGCAGCGGTTTATGAAGAGTTGCGCTGACAAAAAAAAGAGGACTGACTAATGGACTGACTGACTGACGGACGGGTCAAAAACATTATACCTCCCGCAACTAGTTGCGTGGGGTATAAAAATTATGAATACACTATGTATATACTATTTTATAAATAGCCTTTATTCCTGCATGGTTTTCCTGAAAAACATCAATTCAAGGAGGCACCAAGGAATGGTATATAGAGGCTGAAGTCTGCTCTTTTCTCCATGTCTTGCATACAAGTATCTTTTCTGTATTATGCAGTAAAAGAAAAAAATCTTGATTCAATAATGCTTATAGAATGTTTCTGAACAAAATATTGACAAGTGTCAAGTAGTGACAAGTACTTAACTGGTATTTCAAAAATTCAGTTGGGGTGTGTGAATGTAAATTTCACTGTCATTACATTTACTGTGGGAATTATTTACATTTTGTTCCACTTTAAATACCTGTTTTGAGTTCCACTGGCATTATACGTTAGGCAGCTGGGTTCTTCCGAGTCTCGACGACAAAGTCCTATTTGATCCATTTCAGAAGTGCGAGTCAGATGTGATACCGAGTTCCAGCTGTTTAAAATACAATAAAAATAGATATCAAATCGCCTTTAATCGTTTTTTTCTCTATAATGATGAAACAAATTAAGAGAACTGTTAGAATCAGGGAAAACATCGCTCACATTGCGTGTTTGACTTCAACTTTGAGATGGTTATTATTAAATTGTACTTTACACAATTTCTACTTTCACTTTCGAATTTTCTCCGTATCGTACGTAGGGCGGCAGTACTGATGTACCGGAAGGCTTCAGTGTTCAAACAAATACCAACTGAACAATAAATAGACCTAATAAAAAAAGTAATTCTGATATACAAATATCCAACGTAGCAGAGATATGGCACGTCGTTCACAGCCTACGACACAATGTAAGATTACACTGATACTACAACGTATCGATAGTCTGCAAGGACTGTTGTGTTGAGTAATTATGTGTAATGCCTAACGTTGCTGTACATAAAGTTCAAACATTTAGCAGGTCTGGACGATTTCTAAATATGGAAGTCAAGAACGATAACCGAAAGTTGCTATTAATACACAGAATAAACAAGGCGCTAGTCCTTCTGACCAATCAGATAACAGCATTTAGACAAACCCATGTGAAAATAAATAAAACACGTGGTTATTAAGTTTTTTGCTCAAAAGATTTTTTAAGAACAATTTTTTTGTAAACTCAAAGCGCATTTGGGAATAATATAATATTTATGACAATTCTACCGTGAACAAACACGACTTGAAAGCTTAAAATACGTTTTAAGTGGTATAAAAAATCTGTCACTAGGAGGTAGCAATCCTAAAAGTTTAACTTACGTAAAAAATTTGATATAAATACGGAAATTTTTCAGTTTTTATAGCCTGACAGAAAAATCTAATCGAATAGATGTCAGTCTTTATTATTTTTTGAGTGTTTTTTTTTTTCAAAATAGTCCATACAGTTTCTGATAAGCGAGTTAAGATATTGGGATAAAAAGCATTCATGTATAACTACAGGATTCTCTTTTTTCCACTTTATAAGCCATTCCTTATACCCATTTAAAGTCTGCATAGCTTAGTATTCGGGGCTCATGAAACCCGTGATAATTTAAAACTATATATATGTGTTTAGTCCATACGATAAATACTTATGTGTTTTGATATATACATACAAGTGGAATTTAAACATTATCGATGAAAATCGGACGGATAAGCAAAATCATTTTACCAACGTATAATATATTCTAGTAAATGTTATAATTGAACTTGATATGAATTTGCTGGTGCGATCTATACCTCCGTACTAAACCATTACATTCTATCATACATTATTTTTTCTTTACCGAGATAAAAATGTCAAGGTTGTTCACGGTAAATATGTGGGGAATACCTTCTACTTCAAAAGTTTACATCTTACTTCTACAGATTTTTTGTTGAAAAAATCTTTTTGAGGAAAAAAACAAAAGCACGTGTTATCTTATTGTTCTTTTAAAATATGTTTTGGGGTGTGTTAAAATGCTGTTGTCTGATTGGTCAGAAAAATAATTATGTTTACTTGATGTCCATTTATAGCAACTTTCGGTTATCGTTCTTGACTTCCATATTTAGAAATCGTCCAGACCTGTTTAGGGACCTCTGAAATTATGAAACCTCAAAAACGTAATATTACAAAGACTACAAAATACTTACTATTAACATAGACTTGATAAATCCTTTTTCCTCTGTGTTTTCAATTTCTGTTAACAGCTGATGGCGTCAAACATGACGTAGAGTTTCGTCCGATAAAAACAAAACCGATCCTGAGAAAAGCTACGGACCATATTTAGCCGGAAAAAATCCAAATCCAAGTTGACATTTTGAAAGATAGAAATAGAGCATATGATTTTTAAGTCTAGATAAATTACTTTTTAAAGAATATGTATGAAAAAAATGGATGAGGTGAAGAGGGTGCTAACAGTTAGAGCACCCCCCTTTCCCAAACACACACCTGTAACACATCCTTACACAAACACACATGCACTTGTGTCGGAAATACTTTTTGAACCTAAACGGTATAATATTAACTCAACTGTTATCTTTATATATTGGGGTTAAAAATTTATTTCCGACACAAGTGCCAACACCCCCCCCCCCCCTCCCCATCCACCAACCCCGGCGGTTTAGAGTATCCACATATGGACGTCTTATTAATTAATTAATTGTCACTAAAATGCATATGATTGGCAAGTATTGTTTAAAGTTAGGTCTAAAATTTGAATAATAACATTAATATCGTGTTATTCTAATAAACATGAAATTAACATTAAAGAATTAACGTTAAATTAACGTTAAATTCACATTAACATGAAATTAACATTAACTAATTAACGTTAATGTAATGTTAATATTTTGGTTTTAGTTTTCTGAGACAGAACCCAAGCTCACTTAAAATTTAATGTTAATTTAATGTTAAAAATTAACATGAAATTAATGTTAAGTTAAATGAACATGAATTTAATGTTAAGTTATATTAACGTTAAAAATTAACGTTAAATTAATGTTAATATTTTTAACGTTAACTTAACACGAAAGTAATATCAAACTAACATCAAGCTAACATCAATTTAATGTTAATTGAGATTAACACTAAATTAACGTTAGGCACAATTGGCTGTGTAGGCCCAAAATAGGCCCGCGGCACAAAGAATGTTAAGGCGAGTTTCATGAAAAAAAGCCTAAGTGCAAGGGTGTGTGATTTACACACCAATAAATAAAACAAAACTTTAAAAAATCTTTATATTTATATCTTTATGTTTGAAAGCTTAAAAATATGCTCAATATTTAAGTTTCTCCTGCTCTATACCGTTGCATTTTACTAACGTCGCTGTGACCTCATTGTGACATCACGTTAACGCACGTTTCCCGTGTATATTTCAATGAGTGAGTCTACACGAAAACGGTATTGAAATCAGTTTCATAGTTTGCGTAGTAGAAAAACACAGCGAATGTAATTGTCAAGAATTGTAATCAGCATATATCCATTCTCTACAAAAATAAATCTCTCCGACTTGTAAAAGATGCAAAATGGAGATAATCTATCTGTTCTGTTGATAGTCGATAATATATAATCATGTTTACCGAGCTTATCAGTTTTTAAAATAGCAAGCGTACCCAGGTAAAGATATCGTTAACAAACGCACCCACGGTAAATGTGAGTCACTAACAAAGACATTGCACGATATGTTTGGAAATATTAAAGAAAAGTTTCTTTTTCGGTAAGTTTTTTTTTTTTATAACTATCTGGGTTAAGTAGTCCGAACAAAAAATTGTGTCATCTAATTACTAGTACCCTATACAGAGTATAAGAAGAAAAATAAAGTATCTCTTTTTATGGTAAGGAAAAGAAACCTGGACTAAAAGCCGATCGATTGTGGTTTGACCTAATATCCGTGTGAATGCGCTGCTTCTTGTTTCTTGACTTAGTTTGAATGATGTTAGAACGAATATAAATGTGAGCTTATAGTTTTGACTTGAAACATGAATATCAAGGCATAAGAAATAATGTACAAGAAATGAATGTTAATGTAAAAATGTCTCTTGCACAGATAAATAAGCAAAATTTATTTTCAAAATTACTGTAAGATAAAACAAATCAAAATATTTGCTTCATTAACTCCAGTCAACATTTTTCTTTGTTGTTTTAAAGACAGATGATGCAAACAATGTTTATTTGGAAGAGACTTAATATGATGTAAGAAGTTTAGAAAAGTGGATAATTCATAGAATGTTTTATCCTAAGAACTGGAAAATGAAATAGACTTGGAAAATATCAGTAATCCTCCAATGAAAAAAATATAGACAAATCACACTCAGTTAAGGTTTACATGTGAAAAGAAATTTCAGGATATGTTACCTTGCTGCTAAAAGTGTAATATAAACTTTAGAAAAAATATACCAAGCCAGGTGAATTTTGTGAGGAAAAACAAAATGACAAAAAATCAGCAATATCACATAGGCTAATTTTTACCATTTTGCTTTTCCTAATAAAATTCACCTGGCTTGGTATATTTTTCTAAAGTTTATATTATACTTTTAACACCAAGGTAACATATTCTAAAAGAACTTTATTCGGTAATAACCATTATTTGCCCCCCCCCCCCCTAATCAAACTTTGATGGGGATATATTAAATTAAGTTCTTAAACAGAGGAGTATATGCTGACTTCAAAGCACTGAATATTTTCATAAGTAATGACGCCATATGTACGTAATGAAGTCACAAACATGATGTAAATTTCAGTTTTTTATGAATTTTACAGAAAAATATACATTTTTTGTCGATATTTTGAGTAAAAGTCACCGAGCGCATGTGTGTTCAGGATCAATATTTTGATAAAATGTGTAGAATGAAAATATCAATGAAATATATCAATATTGTTCCTGAACAAACTTGCGCTCTATAAATTTCAAAGCTAAAATTGTTGAAATTTTGTCCATTTTGTCCTCTTTCTGTAAACCTGTACTGAATGTGATTTGTCCATATTTGTAATTATATTGAAATATAATGGATACTTTCCAAGTCTATTTCATTTTCCAGTTCTTAGAAGAAAAGATTCTAAAAATTATTCACTTAGTTAAACTTGTGACATGAAATCAAGTCTCCTTCAAAGAAAAAAAAGTTGTTTCCATCATCTGTCCCTAAATGTAAATATTGTATTAAAGAAGTAGGTTCACAAACTCCATTAAATGGCCCTGTCAATATACTTATTAACCGACAAAGTCTTAAGGTCCCATTTCGAACATCAACATAAAGTAGACACTGAGTGGTTTCAGTTCAAATAAAAAAAATTCGTCTGAGAGTCAAAGTTTGGAAAATCAGACGTTGTGAAACTGCAATGTTCTTAATATTATAAAAAAATGGATGAAATTGAGCATTTTAAACATTTTAAACAAAATTTTAAATTGAGCATTAAAAATAAAAATATGATCCCACCCCGCGATCCGAAAAATTTTTCATGGACTAGGATCTTCTGAAATTGTTCTTTCATTATATATTTAAATATTTTAGATCAGATGTTGGGGGCTATGCAAATATAAAAAAAACAGCTTAATGTTTTTTGGTCATTTTTAGCGAATTTTCCAGATTTGAGGAAAATGACGAAATTCATGACGTCATAATACATAGACAAGAGAAAAAATTACGTCATTTTTATTTGATATGAAGTCACCAAGGGTCCAAGTGAAATTGAACATATTTTCAACTTAAACTGAGTTGTTCTGATTTTTCAAAAAATCTCAGGGCCAAAAATTGACCAATGTGACTTTTCTTCTTTATTTATATTGCATATTTGAATTAAGATATCTACAAAAACAGCAACCCATTATCATCCCTCTAAACAGCGTGTCTCCGAAAAAAGCATGCAAAATAGTCAGAAAGCAAGTTTCGCCGATTGTCTTCAAATTTTGTGAGGAAAATATAGTATTCATAAAATGAAATCGGATAAATTTTATTTAGCTAATAAAACCCATATACGTTTTATGGCCTGTTACTTAAATAGCTCTAATGCAACAACAATTGGGGTATTTTTTATGTTTTAGTCATATTTTAAGAAGAAATAAAATTGCAACTTAATGCATGGTCAGAATGATTGACATCAATATTGTTTTAGTGCAAAAAGAACACGAACAAGAGGCCCAGGGGCCACATGGCTCACCTGAGCTAGAAAAAAGCACAAATTAGATCCGAATTGAAAAGCTTACTTAGAAGGGGGGGGGGTTGAATTCTTATACTACATGAGAATGCCTCTATATCATTACACCATTAAACTTCTTGAGGAAGTTCTTGAGAAAAAGATTTTTAAAGATTTTCTTTATAATTTTGATGGTATATATAAATTTGCAATAATTTTTATTTCACTCCCTATTGTCTCCCACCTATCCCAAAGGGTACTCAAAATTTGAGCTAATTTAAGTTTTCATTACATGAGGATGCTAACAGGTCAAATTGACTAATCTTAGCTTTTCTGCTATAGGGATTTTTTTTTCCATTTTTTTTCCTATGTAAAACTTTGATCTACCATTGAGACCCTTCCCTACCCTTGAGGGTAAAGGTTTGGAAAAAAATCAATGCCACACTACCTGATGATGCTTCAATATAAATATCAATAATCGTGGCTTTATAATCGTTTAAAAAAGATAATTTAAAAAAAATATATATTAAAGTTTAACTCAGATCCCCTATTGTGGCCCAGCCTATCACTGGTGGATTTAAGCATACTAGAATATACACTGCCAGAGGATGCTTCCATATAAATATCACTAATCATTGCTTTGCAGTACCTGAGAAGTTTTTTTTCAAGATTTCAAAATATATTCAATGTAAAACCTTAATTAGTTATTGTGGCCCACCCTTCCCCTGGGAGGTGATGATTTGATAAAGCTTTAATGTACACTACTTGAGAATGATTCAAGATGATTTTCATATTTCCTGTCTCTATGGATCTTGAAAAGAAGATTTTTAGCGATTGTTTTCAATACATTCCTATGTAAAATTTTGACCGGATATTGTGGCCCCACCCCACCCCCGAAGCTCAATATTTAAACAAATTTGAATGTACACTATATGAGGAAGAGTTTTAGCTTTTCTGTCCAAATGGTTCTTGAGAAGTAGATTTTTAAAGATTTTTCATACTTATTCCTATGTAAAACTTTGATCGGCCATTGTGACCCCACCTTACTCTCGGGGGTCATGATTTGAACAAACTTGAGAAGATTTTTGAAGAATGCAATTAATTTTTCCCTAATTCATAATTATTTCACCCTTGAATAAGGGCGTGACACCTCATGTGAACAAACTTGAATCCCCTTTACCCAGAGATACTTTGGAGCAAGTTAAGGTTGAAATTGGTCCAGAGGTTCTTGAGAAGAAGATCAAATGTGAAAACTTTACAACAACGACGCTAACAACGACGACGACAGACAACGGACAAATTCTTATCAGAAAATCTTTTTGAGCTAAAAAGTAACAATTTTTGCTGGAATTGAAACTCTCGTAGAAAAGGGGGATGTTTTTATCCAGTAAATTTTATTGCTTATTGTTAAGGATTCTTGTGTTAACAAAATAT